TGTTACATGGTAAGAAAATCTAGAGGTGAATAACTTTTCGGCAGCCATCTTGCATTCTGGCGGCCATCTTGGAAATGTTGGGATAAATCTTGTCATCGTGATTCCAGGAAAACTACCTAACAGATTAACTTCAAATTTTCACACATGGTACATGGTATGAAGGTCTAGAGCTGATTAACTTTTCAGTGGCCATCTTGCATTCTGGCGGCCATTTTGGAAGGTTTATAGATAAATCTTGTAATCACGATTCCAGAAAAACCACTTCACAGTTTTACTTCGAATTTTCACACATGTTACATGGTATGGAGTTCTAGAGCTGATTAACTTTTCGGTGGCCATGTTGCATTCTGTCGGCCATCTTGGAAGTTTTTAGATAAATCTTGTCATCATGATTCCAGGAAAACAACGTAACAGTTTTACTTCAAATTTTCACACATGTTACATGGTAAGAAGTTATAGAGCTGATTAACTTTCCGATAGCCATCTTGCATTCTGGCGGCCATCTTGGAAGTTTGTAGATAAATCTTGTCATCATGATTCCAGAAAAACCACTTTACAGTTTTCCTTCAATTTTTTACACATGTTACATGGTAAGAAGTTATAGAGCTGATTAACTTTTAAGTAGCCATTTTGCATTCTAGCAGCCATCTTGAACGTTTTTAGATAAATCTTGTAATCGCGATTCCAGGAAAACCACTTAACTGATTTGCTCTAAATTTTACACATGTTACATGGTAAGAAGTTGTACAGCTGATCAACCTATAAGTAGCCATTTTGCATTCTAGCAGCCATCTTGAACGTTTTTTGATAAATCTTGCGATTCCAGGAAAACTACGTAACTGATTTTCTTGAATTTTTTTGTTACATGTTACATGGTAAGGAGTTCCAGAACTGTTACAAAAACAGAGTAAACAAAGCACATGGTGAACAAGATTGGCCTAAACATAGCAGTGTGGACTTGATGTCCCAGAAAGCAAGATGGTCGAAGAGTTAATCAGTTGAAGAACATCTTACCATGTAAAGTGTAAAAATTTGAGGACAATCTGTTAAAAAATAGCTCAGAAGACAACAGAATCGTCGATTTAATTTCAAACTTAAGTTACATAAAGGTTTGGGTTAAAAGTGCATATCTGAACTGTTTTTTTCGAAATACCGTTTATGTAACTTAAGTGAGGAATTAAATGTACTATTATGTTGTCTTCTGAACTATTTGTTAGCAAATATGCACATTTTCTTAAACATATGATACTGATACACGTTTGTGAGAAAAATGTCATGGGAATTCTGCCTACAAAGTGTGAAATAAGGAAAAAGGAAAAATCATACCTTCGATGTTCCCACATTTTGTTACCGAAACAAACCGTTTAGGTAACCAGCATAATTGAGTGGATCACTAGTGATATACTTTAGTAGTCTTTAATAATGTTAGGGGGGATGAGTTGTAAGGCATACTATGTCATGTTAGATCATGATCTATACTACTTTTATTACAATTTACCAGTTACACTTTCTCCATGCTAGGTTCTGTTATAACTTTTGTTCCTATGGCATCTGTGCTTTATACATTTACATTCACAATGGTCGCTTCCTGGTATATTTTTTTTAGGTTTTATGACTGTTAAATTCTTTACTCTAGTTAAGACCACTTTATAAACAGGTTTATTATTACTTTTATGACTGTTAAATTATATAGTCTAGTTAACACCACTTTATAAACAGGTTTATTATTACTCGTGTAACTAACACTACGAAAAAAAATATAATTAATTTATTTGATTTTGATATAACATGAAATGATTTTTTCTTTTCGATAAAACATTGCTCATTAGTAATATATTATTTAGTTGAAAACTTAGAGTAAACAATCAGTTTAACTTCTATCACATAGTTTATTTTGGTTCAGTAGATTTTTCTATATTATTTTTATGTCACCACCACTAGTGATTGGGTGACATATTGTAATAGCTTCGAACGTTTATCTTGACACTGTTCAGTAGTTAATGTGTACTGTATACTTAACAAGGTGTGGTGACATTTTGCATGTTTCGTCATCGTCACTACTATTGAAAGCTTATGTTGATATTGTAGCAGTGTTTTTAAGTTCTTTTTGTTGGTACAATTAGTTTCCAAACCCTATACTTATATCGATCTGACACACAGTTTTAGTGCAGGTTTAAGTGATTTTTGTTGATTAATAAACACAAAGAGCACACGTGTCTCGAACTCGCAACATTGTGGGTACAGAGCCCATTCACATAGTTTGACATGCTGGTGCTCTCAACCAGCTCGTTAGTTAATATCTGACTAAGAGACAGCTTGCTTTCCCGATGAAGAAACGTTGTCTGCAGCTTTTATGAGTACTAGTATCTACAACTCTTTTTGATCTTATGAGTATTGGATATCATTATTTTTCTTTCTTCAACATGTATTCTAATGACTTCAGTATGAATGGAATGTTCCTTGGAGTTGTGGTCGTTGATGAGGAATTGGTCATTGAACGGTGTGGATACTGTTCATTCCCATATTAGATTATTGTTTTGGGATATTCAGGTTTGATTTTTGTTTGCCAGTTTTACACTTTAGAGTTTGCTTTTTTCCACTAGGTTGCTTTACACTTTTTCCTTTCTCATTTTTGTTTATATTTAGTAAGGATATGATACGCAGGTCTCTCCTTCTGTGTGATCACCTGTCCAGAAGATAATTCAACTACATGAAGAACATTTCGGTGACATGATGCACAGTGAAAGATTTTCAACACATTTATATTTTCTTTTAAAAGAGCTTTATTTCCGTTATATACTCAGATCAAGGCCAGTTTAGCATACATTTCGCTCTCAAACAATCGCTGTGCAATAATGGATTTCAAGGAAATGTTTGACGTTTTCAATAATCTTTTTTCTTTTTGATGAAATGTAGTTATTTATTCTAAAATTCAAACGATGTCATACACAAAATGCATTTAAGTGGTATAAAGTACAGAAGCAGAGTAAAAATATGTATTTTAGAATATCTCCTTGTGTTACCCCATTGTAGCGCCTCTTGCCCATGTTTCTATCAATATGAAATATGATATCATACACCAAATATGCATTTATGTCAAATTATGTGGTTTAAAATACAGAAAAATAGATAACATTGTCCTTAGAATACCACCTTGTGTAACCCCACTTTACTGCCTTTTGCCCCTGTTTCTATCAATATATCGATATTTTAAAGATCATTTGATACCATACACGAAATATGCACTTATGTGGTATAAAGTAAAGAAACACAGTGAAAGGTTGCATTCAGAATGCCACCTTGTCTAACCCCATTTTAGTGCCTTTTGCCCCTGTTTATATCAATATAAAAGGTAGCATGTAGCCTTCCATGTAACATGTGTAAAAGTTTCAAGAAAATCAGTAAAGTGGTTTTCCTGGAATCACGATGACAAGATTTATCAAAAAACTGGATGGCCACCAGAATGCAAGATGGCCGCCGAAAGGTTAATTAGCTCTAGAACTCCTTACCATGTAATATGTGTGGAAATTTGAAGTAAATCCGTTTGGTTTTCCTGAAATCGTGATAACAAGATTTATCTTAAAACTTCCAAGATGGCTGCCAGAATGCAAGATGGCCACCGAAAAAATAATGAGGTATAGGACTTTTTACCATGTAACATGTGTGAACATTTGAAGTACATCTGTTATGTGGTTTTTGTGAAATCGCGATGACAATATTAATCTTAAAAAATTCCAAGATGGCTGCAAGAATGCAAGATGGCCGCCGCAAAGTTAATCAGCTCTAGAACTTCTTACCATGTAACATGTGTGAAAATTTGAAGTAAATCCGTCTGATGGTTTACCTGGAATCGTGATGACAAGAAAATGAGAATTCAAAATGCCACCTTGTCTAACCCCGTTTTGGTGCCTTTTGCCTCTGTTTCTATCAATAGAAGAGGTGTTTTCTTGAAGAGGGAAGTCTGTTCTTTCAAACGGTACAATCATTTTATGTGGGAAAGTACCGGACAACGAAACCCCTTTTCTAGAGCCCTTTAGGAAATCAGATCAGGGACTACAAGATGATCGATACCGTTGAAACCGACGTCTGATTTGATGGTAACTTGTTGACCAGCAATATTATATAGTATATGTATCTGATGTACTCTAGTCTTAACCACCAAGGCTCATTTGTTCTTGAACCACATGTGAAACAACCAAGTCAATTATATTACAGACACGGCTTAATAAAATGGTTTAACCATTAAAAGAATGGCCTTGTCGATATCATTACAGACAATATATCAGATAATAATTACAGGCATGGCTTACTTTAAATGTTTTAACTGTCAAAAAACTGCCATGCTGATAATATTACAGGCAAGGCTTACTATTAGTATGTTAACCATCAAAAGAAGGGCCTTGTCGATAATATTACAGCCAAGGTTAAACATAAAATTAGAATTAAAATTTTTTAAATGTATAATCATATTCCTACATCTTATTAGTATAATATTATGACAAAGTAAGAGTACATACACCATTTTGAGTACATTTGAGATACATATGCTCCATATTTTGGAAGTTATTAAGGTGAGATATGGTCACTCCTGGGACGTCAGAAGCCAAAATGAGTATTACATTTTTTTTAAAGAGTACATACACCATTTTGAGTACATTTGAGATACATATGCTCCATATTTTGGAAGTTATTAAGGTGAGATATGGTCACTCCTGGGACGTCAGAAGCTAAAATGAAAATTAATATTTTTAAAAATGTACAATCATTTTCTTCCATCTTATTAGTAATATTATGACAAAACAAGTATATATACACCATTTTGAGCAAATTTGAGATACATATTGTAACGTTTTTCCCGGGTCAGGAATGCGGGGAAGGTGGACTCTCCCGCGTGTTACTTAATTGCGGGATGTTTCGGAGCGGCGTTGACTCCGCTCGCTACAGTCGCCTGTATCATATTGTTAGCGAGTCTGTAACACTAATATGTCGTATTTTTTCAGCATGGTGCGAAAATTATTTATGAAACAGATGATGACAACCATCCAACCAATGGCCTCAAGAGTTTCGTTACTACTGACAAGATGTATGGCGTCGTGCCTTCAACAAACACCACACTATTTAACCCATATGCTTATTATGGGCAGCCAACGACATGGCCAAGAGGATATCCCTTAGAATACATCGGGGACAATATTACTAGTGAGTACAATGCAGTGCACTGGAACACAGCTCTAATACAACAAGGAGCAGTTCATGGTGACCCGGATGTAGATGCCATCTATCGACTAACCCGCAAATCAAGCTCCGAAATATTAAAAATAACCTATGATGAATACATGCCGCCATTGTTCTATCCAAAGGGGACATTTGTTCCATGGAATTCCCAGAATACTTTGTTCCACTATGGTGCATTCTGGGGCCTCATATTGCCTGTAACAGTGACATCTCGTGTCACTGACATATGGAGAAGTTATTTTACACAGACCCTTCTTTGGCTTATAGATGGTCACTTAAGTTATATGCCCCCGAATTGCTACCAGTTCCGGAACTATCACTCGTACATAGATGATGCAAAACAAGAAGATAAGCTCTACTACCAAGCCGGGGAATTTGTCAAGTTTTTATCTAGTTGGAAATGTAAAGCAAACAGCCTTCCTTTGTGTATTCAGTTATTAGCAGACACTATGGTTCACAAGGGATTCTGGGATATTGCAGATGCAAAGCTAGTACGTGCATGGTTACAAGACCTTCTTAGCATTGGGTACGAATTTCCAATAATGAGATCAGAACAACGAATGGAACCTGTTGACTTTTCAATCACTCTTCAGTCTGATAACCGTTTCGCTGTATCGATTCCCTCAAACTCAAAACAAATTTATATTGGACAGAAAAAATCGAAAATAAGAAAGCTATATCATAACACATGCAATAGATACAAGTACACGGGTAGGTCACATGAATCTAATCAGACAAATAAACAGGAATTAATACAGCCAAACCCCATATTGTTACTGATCATATTCAATACGCCGCATTACGAGACTATCCCGTACATAGAGGCACTTTATGATGGCCACTTTGTCAAGACAATCTACTGTGGCCCAGAAAAACCAAATCAAAAGATTCTTGAAGAATGGGAGATCAATTTTATCACATATGAACAAGCACGTGATTATTTCCCGGGTAGTTATAATTAGGCCATAAGAAGTTGATTCTTTGTTTTGCGTCCCCGTGCGTGCACGATTTTGAGCAAATCAGAAAAAACAAACACACTCAAATATCGATCCCCGGGATCTAAATTTGAACCAAATTTCGTTCAGTGCTCTTTAATTTGAAAAAAAAAGATGGCGGGCGATTTGATCTGCGTCCGAATTGAAGGATTCATTGACTATTTTGCCATGGAGATGGGGCCTAAAACGACGATTAGTACTGTGCTAGAAGGCCTGTCTATCGCTAGCAAACAGGAAGATCTTCCCGGTAGGACTACGTCAGGCCCACCGCTTAAGAGATTTAAGAAAGCCATTGAAATCGGAAAAGGTAGGCAAGGCTTTTCAGACTTGAATTAGGATCGATCTTCCATTCTCTCCTATTTTCACCCACTTCAATTATTTCTCAAATATATATTTGAAATTCATTCATGTGAAGACTAAAATAAATGTTTTCGATCGATATTATAGTGGAAACGCTGGTCGTCTTTTTGGTGACAGATTTTTTTCAAGAGCCGTTCCCCGACACATGTCTGAATTCGTAGTTCAATAGAGATCATGAATACCTGTATAAATAGTTGATCGCAAACTAGGTATAAATAACAATTCATAGTTTGTCTAATGTCAACAGATCACGTAATTGCAAACCAGAAAATTTCACGCAAAACATGCAGAAATTTTGTGGGCGATAATAGAGTGAATATCGAATTTCGCGATTTTACGGCCAAGGGAAATGATACAGCTTGGAAATTGTTCTTCATTTATTTTAGGAGTCGTAAATTGCGCCAATTGCATTTTTGTTGAACTTCAAAATTTAAAGGTGGTGAACTAGGGTAGGGTGGTGGGAAATTACAAACATACATACATACACATACATAAGAACAACACACATTTTTACGTTTATTTATTTAGGTATACACTTCTATTAGAATTTTTTCTGTTCTCATTTTCAGACCAGACTGTGCGTTGCTTTGTTCGCTCATCACCCAAGGAGACAAAGATTGAAATACCACTACACTTGACAATTGAAAAAATGACAAAGCTTGGAACCTTTATTGAATTTGAAATAGAGGAGACTAAACCCTGCCCAGAGCAAAAGAATGCATTTTCCATGATGATGGGACAAGCAACCAAGCGTTTTTTCCCTCCTTTGATCAACTCACCAGATAGAGGAGATAGGCTGTTAAGAAATGATATTAATATACTTCTCCAGGATAAAAATATTGGATTTCTGTCTCAACATGATGCGAACAATTTTGGGAAAACGATATTGGAAAATGTGTCCAATGCCATATTCTACCTTCTGCCCCACTTATCAGCACTCAAAGCTAGATCCCTTGGTCTCCCAGACATCTTCACACCATTGCTTGAACCAGATGGTCTTACACAAAAGTATAATAATCCTGAACGAAGGAAACAGAAGTCAAGGATGGATGTTGGTGACCTTAAATCAAAGAGCCAGGGACTCTACGTGTGCCTTTCATTCCCAGTCATGGCATCCCCTTCTTTGAAAGCTCTACATGCTGCAACTAGCAAGCTGGTCACAACCATTGACAAATATGTAGAACATCTAGAGACCACAGGAAAACTTGTCAATAAAATTCACCACTCTCTGTTACCAGCAAGATCACTTGCCTCAAGTACCGAACTTAAGTTGATCAAAGGAAAGCTGCGAGCAGATGACAAGATTGTCAGAAGATATGAAGAACTCCAACAGATCATGGATGGGCGTGACATGTATGATCCTTACTTTCTCAGTGATATCCTGCCTGTTGATCGCCGTATTCGTTACAACTACCTACAGGAGCTTCAACTACCATATGATGTGCAGCTTTATAGTCATCATGCTGGCTCCAATAAACCAAGTTTATGGTTCATATGGAAGACCCCCAAGAATGATCTTAATATGACACGATCAAATGAAGAAATCCAGAAGATTCTACCACAACTACCTTTGTATCACACACGAGCCATGAGAACAGAGTTCGAGAATGACTTTGGGCATCTTTGCAAATCCAGCAAATCAGTCATGAAGAAAATCTATCAGACTCTGACTGGAGATGAGTCGGTCATGTCCAATGAAATATCAAAGGATGTCCAACATAGATTAGACCTTTTACTCCAGACTAAAGATGCAAACATCCTTCCAGATTTGCGTGCCTTGAATTCTAACAAAGAAGTGTTTCATCCATTTTGGGATGGGGTGAAAAATCTACTGAACCAAGAGGCAGCCAAGGCGGTGGATGACCGGCGCCACGGTACAATATGTCACATTGCAGTTGCCATGAGTGTGTCAGACTTAGTCAAACAGGTTAAACAAAGTCTTCCCGAGGGTACCGCCATTCCTAGTACAAAATGGGTTTCTATGCAATTTGTGCCACGTAACAGATTTTCGTTAACAGCACATCGTTACACAGGGCGATTCGATGTCCGTTTTAAAATACAATCCAGACAAATCAACAAAAAAAATGTTGATTCTCATTATGCAACGGCAGTGTTCAAATACGTCAAAGAATTTGCCATTGAGCACAGGGACCAATCAATCATGCTTTGTGTGGATGATAAAAGCACAATACCTGTTGGAGAGCCTGGAACTCCAATGGCTACCATTGCACGAGCTCGGGCAACAATAGTACAGGAAAATATTCCTTTAATGGCTTCAGACCATGACACAGCCACGAAATGTAAGATCACGCCATCAACTACCCTTTGCGTTGACATTCCAGAACAGATCACTGGATCCTTTTACAGAGGTGTACCTTATAATGGATTAAAGAGCACAATCTTTGAACCAAGCACAGCTATGCGGCATGCAGCAGAGATGGGGAAAGTTTTAGAAACCAAGGATGATGGCACAGTCCTCATCATATACGCGGATGGTGGCGGGGACCACAGAGTTATAAATCCATCTGTCAAGATCTCACTTATAGCAATGATGCTCAAGTATGATATTGATGTTCTTCTTGCTGCTAGATGTGCGGCTGGGGATAGCTACTTAAATCCGGCTGAACGCTGGCACTCCACAATGAACTTGGCTCTACAATCTGTTTCCATTGAAAGGTCCAACATGGAAATCAGGTATGAGCAGGCCATGACCAAGCTTTCATCCATGAAGGATATTAGAGACCATGGGGCCAAGGATCCTATGTTCAAAGCAGCTTTGATGGACAGTGTCGAGCCAGTGAAGTTAACCCTAACAGATCTCTTTGGAAGACTCAGTCTGAAAGGGAATTCTTGTAGAGTCATGGAACCTGCGAGTCAACTTGAAATTGATGAGCTCTGGGCTGTGCTGTTAGAGAAATTTCAGATAAATCCCAACCCATCAACAAAGGAATTGCAGAACAATGAAAAGTACTGTCAGTTTCTCAATCATTGCTGCACTGCCCGACACTATTTTTTCATGATGAAGAAGTGTGGGAGTCCAACATGCAATATTTGCAAGCCACCACTTCTTGACATAGCTGTCCTAGATACCATCCATCCCCTACCAGGTGAGTTTAAAGTTTAGTTAAAATGTGAAACACAGAATATTTTAATATCACTAAGATTTGCATAGTTTCATATGGGCCATAAATATGATTCAGTAACAGATGCTTAAATCAGAGAAATGTTAACATTTACAAGTATATCTTTTCAGACCCAACACCAAAGACTACCGACCCAGATCACTACCAGTCATTCCATGAACTATATGGAAAGGAAACCACTGAGAAGTTCCGCCCTTCCCTCAGCAAGAAAGGTGAAGAACTGACTCAAAGTCATACTGGATTTAGGCTAAGTGGGGAAACTGCCCGAGGTATATTATCATGCGAAGAATGCCAGAAGCCCAGGTATAAATGCATGCATATTTTATATATTAAAAATATTAAAAATGTCCAAATATTACATCCCTAAGTCGCGTTGACCTCGATTTGACCTTTACTGATCTCCATTTTGAAAAATCAATATTTTTCTGAAGGGGTTGTTGAATAATGTTTACAACAATACCATTATTATCGAAATCAGACAAGATATATGGTTTTAAAAGGTCTAATAATATTGTACCGGTTATAAGAGGTGTAAACATATTGTTTACGATATAAATATGAAAGGTGTAAAAATATTATTTATGATATAAGAGGTGTAAAAATGTTGTTTGTCATGTAAGAAGTGTGAAAATATTGTTTATAATATAAGAGGTGTAAAATATATTGTTTGTGATATACGCAATGTTAAAATATATGAGTTGCAAAAATATTGTTATCATACAAGAGGTGTAACATACCAGGTCGTTCAATAAGTTCACGGAAAAATGCTCTCATTTCAAAGATTTTTGATATTTTCTCATGAAATTTTCACACAATGAATAAAAAATACTTTCTGATTGATTATCAAAATATCAGCATCTCTTATTTGATTGGTCAAAAATAAAGGTTACTATGGTAACTTGACTTTTGGGTAGGCGGGGCGGTATCTGGTCAACTCGGACCCTAGTTAACTCGGACCCTAGTCAACTCGGACCCTAGTTAACTCGGACCCTAGTCAACTTGGACCCTAGTTAACTCGGACCCAGTTATATTCAGTATAAATCAGAAGTATTTTGCTATGTTAGAGGTGAAAGCAATTAACTTTCAAAATATTAAGAATATTGGAATAGTTTAAGATATAATTTAATTCATTACTGAAATCTTTAACTAATGATGTTTATGTATATTTCTGATGAGTCAAAATCAGTCTTTTAAAACCTTTATACTTTTATGCTATTTGCGTCATGTGTGATCAAATAACCTTTATAATTAAATAAGAATGATTTTGATTCATTTTATATTGACTTAAATATAGAATTGGAACTATACTATGTTTTAAAAAAATGAATTCAATTAAGCCTGTTGTGTATAATGCTGTTATAATAACTTTGACTAAGAAACCTAATTAACAAATCTTGTATCCTTACATTAATTCCAATATACAGTATGGGGAAATGTGTTAGCGCATTTGTGTTTAATACAATT